TTGCTAGCTTGGAAGTTGTGGTGGGTTGAGCTAACCCTCTTCCCCACTGTTTGTATTTGGTCGTAGGAGCTGGAGTGGGCAACTTATTTACTTGGAGGTCTTTCTTTCTTTTACCTTTTTTATCAGGTATGTCGAATTTCATGTTGTTGTTTTTGTTTTATCTTACGTCAAATATGTTACGTGTAAATGCATACTTTATGTTTAATGTAAAAATACATGCCGCGCCCTTTTCTACAATTCCCCTGTGGGAGAGGAGCTGGAGTGGGCAAATTATTTACTTGGAGGTCTTTCTTTTACCTTTTTTATCAGACACAACGCAGAATCACACCGGTTACATTAGCACTGTACTTGGGATGAATATGATTGCTGGTCCACACATATAGCTTTTCGCAGTGATTTTAGATACTGACATAAAAATGCAAATATTTCTCCTCAGGATGGACCCAAGTAACCTTGGTATTCCTATAGTTTAAGCCCCAGCGAGCTCCCTGAAATGTGTGGGTGTGTTTACTGTACATACCAATATGCAGGGCAATAGCCATTCCAATTGCAGACCACAGGGAGAAACGACCACCAACCCACTACAAGAAAACACACAAAAATTATGTAATTTTTTGTCCCATTTTAATGAAAGGAAGCCAAGGTTATGCACATGTGCAATTAAAATAAACACCACACTTGATCTTTATAGCTTTGATAAATAGTAGCAAGAAATGTATGATTTGCTTCAGTCTTTTCCAAAAGTTCTTTTAGGCATTTTTTCTCCCTTCTTCTCTCTTTTGGACTGAAAATACTGTAGACTAGAGGCGGAGAATACATTTTTCCAAGGGGCCACATGAGAAACTGGGACTGATGTCGAGGGCCACATCAATAAGCTTAACTCAGTTTCATTTGATTTTAATTTTAGCTCTTTATAAGCTTATTGTGGCAGCCCTCTATAACAGTCCCAGTCTCCCATGTGCCCCTTTGGGAAAATTGATTGCCCACCTTTGCTGTAGATTTTGTGCATGCAGCCATTTTCTCCTGACATAAAGGCCACATTATAGCTGTTACCTTTAAAATACCAACAATGTAACTAAATGCAACTCTCTGACCTTTGATGCAACTCAGCCTTTACAGTAACCTCTGCAAGAGAGAAGGTCACTACCAATAATAACTGAGACTGAAGAGAGAGGCTTCTGATTACCGGGCAGCTGCTGTTCAGAGAGTCTGTCCCACCTACTTCACAGGTCAAAAGTCTGCTTTATTTATAGCTTCTACTCTTGCTCCATGGCACCGTGTGGACGTGAAAAACCTGCATACAGTGTGTGTTTTAAAGCTCAAAGGGCACTTACGTCCCAGAACTCGAACATGTTCTCCGTGTCGATGCCAAAGTCTTTCACTTTGGGCTGAAGGGGAGACAGAGAAAAACCGAAAAGTTAGTATTAGAATGTGTAGATGCAGCGAGAGGCTTATTATCCCTGAAAAAAATTTGGTACAACTTACACCATTGGTGGAAAGAGCCACAAAGTGTTTGGCGACAGCAGCTTTCTGTTGAAACATACCAAATTTATAATTAAGAAAGACATCCTTTTAGTGTAGTATTGAAACTGTGCTGTGCAGGATTGCTGCAAACTCACATCTTTGGCATGTTCGAGGAACCAAGCTTTGGCCGACTCAGCATTTGTAATAGTCTCTTGGGTGGTGAATGTCTGTATATATAGGAATACACAGATATTCATGTAGCAATTTATAAGGAACTTTCTGTCTGTGCTTGAAGATTTAGCAATAAATAAATAAACATTCCTCATTTCTTCATGAACATGCTACCTTGGATGCAATGATGAAGAGGGTTGTCTCAGGGTTGAGCTGTGCCAGGGTTTTGGCGATGTGGGTGCCATCAATATTGGACACAAACCACACACGAGGTCCATCTTTTGAGTATGGCTTCAAGGCCTCAGTTACCATCAGGGGGCCCTACAGGTCATGGTAAGCAAAAAAAAAAAAAAAAGTCAGGCCTATTTGTATTATTATTAATATATGTAAGATTAACAGATCTTTCAAGCAAATCCACTCACAAGATCAGATCCTCCAATTCCAACATTAACAACATCAGTGATGGCCTTCCCTGTGTAGCCCTTCCACTCGCCACTGCGAACTTTCTGCAACACATCAATCGCAAACATTATTTTTGTGGGTCTATAAACTGCTGATAGCTGCATCAAAAATTCATGAGCAGGGCTACAAAACTGACATAGTGAATTGTTTAAACAGTTCTGTGGAAGAGCTTTTGTTGTGATTTTTTGCCTTTATTTTTGGGTTCACTCACATGACAGAAACCCTTCATTTTCTCCAGAACCTTATTAACGTCTGGCATTACATCCTTCCCATCCACCATGATGGGAGTGTTGGAACGGTTCCTCAGAGCCACATGGAGCACAGCACGGCCCTTCATTTCCACAGCACCAGGAGATAAATGTTAATATACACAGACTCTTACTATCAGCACTGAAGCACTTGGTATTTTTCTGCTGGCTGCTTACACTGCTTGTGAATGAGAAGTGAATGGGTTTTTCAGCTTGCATTTACTGTACTTTGTGTTCATTTTTAAGAGAAATAAAAGAAAGAGTGTTAAGCGAAGTTATGACTGTTTAACAACGAGCACCTCAGTGAAGTTTATCTTCTCTCCAGTAAACATCTTCTCTCTGGCAGCCTCAATGCCTCTTGACTTGGCCTAATGAAACAATAAATATGAATGCTATGTCAGTAACAATTTGGGAAGTTTCAAACTTATGAGCAGTCCTTCAAAGAAACACAACTTAAGTGAAGATGAAAGTTGTATCTGATGAACTGACCCCCACTTTCTGCTTGATGAAAGGATTGATTGGCTAATGATTCGGTAATTAATATAAACAGTTTAAAGGCCACAGATCATTTAAATGTAAATTGAATTACCAGGTCAACCAACATTTTCATAACGTCCTCTGTGATGAGGTTCTTGGAGTAATCCAGAAGAATGTCTCCATCCTCAGTTTTCAGTGTGAGGCTATTGGAGACAAGATGAGAATATTTTCTGAGTATCAGTATCCAGACAAAAACTATCATTTTGTCGTTGTGTTGAGGTTTGACGTGTATGTAATGAAGCCACACAGAGGACTGTTATGTGAACATGTCAACAGATGATAAAACAGAATTAACATTAACTTACTAAATACATCAAATATATCTAAATGTATTCTTGTTTTATACCTGAGCTTGTTGAATCTCTCCTTGTCAGCCTCAAACATGTGCCTCATGTTGAGGCCCAGGGCGTGGGCTGTGTACCACTCCTGCAACTTTTGAAAGTTGGGGTCCTGAGTAAGTCCCATGCTGTCCAGAGAGGGGGGCTTGCTGTGCTCCACTGTGCTCAACTATCTTGGCTGAGTGCGACTGAGCAGGTCAGAGAGAGAGCTTTTTGAAGGGCACCCAGTCTAGATCTAAACTTGCCCCTCCTACAAGAGACATATAATATCCATGACCTGAGCGTGTCACACTTGCCCACTGTCTTGCAGGGTTAGAGTGCATGTAGTTCACTGTGCCACACGGATCATCACACAGGTCAGACAATGTGTTGTACCTTTTCTTATTTTTCTCTTAAATGGTTATACAGTAGTCAAATAGCCAAAAATGGCCACAGTTTAAAATAAGAAGGTCAGTGGATGACATAATCACTGTAAGTCTCCGATTTCTTTTCACTTGTTCTGTATCTGTGAAATTTCGGTGAGAGTGGACATCTCTAATATGGCCATCTCAGAGACAAAGAGCACAGCAGTGAGCACAGCAGCCCCTTCCAACTTCTGTTTGTGAGGGGAAGCCAGTCACAAAAAATGGAAGGTGGCCATAAATGTTAAAACTCAGTTAAGTTAAAACTCAGTTCATACTCATTTAAAACTGAGTATAAAGGTTGCATTTATGCCCAAGGTAAAGAAGAATTATATGAACGCAACAATTTTTCATTTTGTAATGAATTACTAATTTACATTTAGTAATATTCTTCTCCAACTATATGTGGGGGAAAAGTAAACATCCAAACTATAGACTAAGCTTTTCTCGCAGGTTTCTCATCCAAACCTGCATTGTAGTACGGTGTACTGAAGTCCAAAAACAAGCATATTGGCTTGTTACTAGTTATGCCTTATTTAGCATTACTGTTCTACAGCTAGTAAAAAAAGACAAGCGACCATTTATGCTCAGCTAGTTCATGGTAAATGTGTGTAACATAATATGTTTTAATATGCATGATTCCAGTACGTGCATATTTTATGTAGCACATAGCGATGAAATCAGTTGACCTAACAGTGCAAATTGTGGCTCCTCTTTAATTATCTAGATCTAAAAGTTGTAACCCTTGTTGAGACACTGCAGATCCAGATCAAGTGCAGGTTGTATCCTTTAAAGCTGTGCAGGTGTCTGCTACCTGGAGAGGTTGCATTATTAAAGACAAGTTTGAGACCTTAGCGCCCCCAAGTGTTCTTATTTAAGCATGAAGTACAAGATGTAACATTCTCTAACAAACATTAGGGGGCGAGAAAACCTTATCCAGAAGCAGCATTAAATTGTGCTGGATTTTATTTCGTCTTAATCTTTATTCCATGTAGTCACAAACCCGTTCTACACTTCAAGCAAAAGATATAATGCGATTTTTCTCAGCTCACTGTTTGGGTTCCCTTTCATTTGAATAACTAGGTTTCCCTACTTTTTCAATCATGATGTTTGATGCTTTTCATGTTTATTCTTACTTCGTGCCTTTTACTATATTGGTTATATTTATGTTATTTATAGTTATCGTTATTATTTATATTAGTTAGAGTTATATTACAAGAACCAAAATTGAAGTGTAAGGTTTAGAAACTAAATTAAACAATATGGTAACGCAATCTTATATTATTTTTAAATGGTATTTAAGGCGGTGTTGTAGGAAGACAAAATATACTGATAAAATATTGCTGATTGACGGTTTTATTGTGAAAGTCTCAGCGGAAGTGTGAGTTTATTGACTTGGTTTTGATAGTGGTCACACAGACAGGGAATTCGCTGTCAAGAGGGTGGATGCCTAGAGCTGGTAAGCGATGCTTTGATTAACTGAACGCGTACTGTAATAATTTTCTTGTGTTTCACGGTAGCTTGTTTTGTCTTGGCCGCGGTAGTCCCGGCTGTTTTGAGTCTGTGGTGGAGCAGCACCGGGCCGCTTACGTTAGCTGGTGCTTTCTAGCAGCGCTTACAGTCGTGTCGCAGAGAGCTAGCTGGTTTGCTAACGCTAGCTCGCTAAGCTGTGTAGCTAGCTTCATTAGTACTGATGTGTCCATTATCGGACGCACCTTTATTTGACGTGCTTATTTTTCTAAGTCGTGTTAAGCAAAATATTGCAACCCCATAATCGCTAAGACAAGTGTTTTGAGTGAAGGCTCCAGAAGGACTTGACATATTTGTGCAACTGAACGCTCGTATGTACACAAGCCCAATTTCATGTGTGCTGATAAAGCGCATCCGCCTCGGCTAGCGAAGGAGGAGCGGTGGGTTGGCGCTGTCGTTTGTTTCTGTTAACACTGCCCCTTGTTTATATCTGTGCACGATGCTTCAGATTTGATCATCGTCTTGACACTCTTACGTGCGAGAATGATGTAACAAGCCTTAAGCTTTTGTAATAACCTGGATTGACTGGGTGTCCGATAACGGACCTGGGCGTTCTCGGTTTGAAGTTACGCGCTGCAGTCGGTGATCATCCGCCGCACAAAGATGGAATGCAGGCTAACGTTAGAGACAAGCTGGCGACACGGACGTTATTTACGGTTCCTGTGGCTACATACTTGTTTCTGTGCCTTTCTGTGCTCCGGCTTGCTAGCTAACACGAAAGCGAGCGTCTGGTTCTGTGTGGCAGGCGGCTGAGTGTCAAAGACCGGGGAAAGCAAGGGACCTAGTGTGCTGGGTACCCACCGGGGGTGGCATTTCCCCGTCATTCGCTTATCCAGCGTTTGGCGTGTTGATGCCGCGAAAGGCTTTCCGGCGACACCGCGTTTAGGGCGTTAAAAGGCCGTATTAATAGCTGCGACATAGTGTTCCCATGACTTGGGCCATGTCATCCCAGAGTTTCGATGAAACCGGCTAACTGCGCTTGCGGGGATTCTGTTACACCTTCCTGCTAAATAGTGATCGTGTTTGACAATAACCCCCTTACAAAACTAGCTAGTTAGTTGGTTTTCTTCCCCGCTGGGGTTTCAGGATTAAGTAGCAAGCCGTTGTAATAATAGCCCTTGAGTAGCCGTGCTGTGTTTAATAACACGTACAGAGCAGAGCAGCAGTAATGCTGTAGAGGTGTTGAAATCGTATCCTCAGACATGCTATTATGGTCGTTGAATACTCTCCTCTTGGTTTACATTAATTTCGATATATTGACCTTAAATAATTGTACTATAAGTAAAGTAGAAACTTGCACAACTACATTGATGTCGATGTTTTATATAGTCTCTACAGTACAGAGAAGATGAGTGGAGTTGCATTAATAAATAACGTTGCCCCACTTCTTTGGAGGGGTGTAGCCATCTACAGTCTAGCCAGATGTCTGTCGTTTGAGATCGTGTGGATGTGCTTGTGGTGAAAGTAGAAGCTGTCCTACTGTCTGATCGTGTCTTTGCATAGGATATCGCCTATGATTTGAGATGTCTGTGCGCTGATTGGCTATTCATACGTGCAAGGTTTGCCATGAGCAGCCACTCTGATGAAGACTGATAAAATTGTTGTCATTGCATGATTCATATTTTCTTGCTTGTTAGGTAATAGGGGTGTGCAGTTAATTTGATTTCAATTACAATTTTTGCCTTCCAGGGGCTTTTAAATTAAGATAATTGGTATAAAATCCACTTTAAGGCTCTTCTTTCACCTTTGAGGAGCCTCAGTTGATTCCCTGTTAAGCTCTGTTTGGTTTAGTTTAGTTCAGCTCATGTCAGTTGAATTATAATTAATATTCATGAAGATCAACTTCATTAACGTATTTTCTTGAAGTTTAATAAAACCACTGTTTTTCAGTGGCTTTGTTGACCCTAACGCACACTTTCATCTAATATTGTCCAATAGGTGGTTTAGATTTGTTGCCTTCCAAAGTAAAGATGTTATCATTGAGAAATGCCTGTAAAAGGCTGTGATCTTTTAAACTTTTATTGAAAGTTGTTTTTCACTCAGATGACTGTGTTTGTCACTGGTGTTCAATTATTTTTGTTGTTGCTGTAGTTCTTTATTTTTTGTTAAAGTGAACATGTATGGTAAAGCCAGCACGTTCCTTTTGTGGAGTTTTGCATGCATGTACAACTGTCATTAAAACAACCCTGAACCTTTGTGTTGACATCTGCCACAGCTGTGTCTCTGTGGAAATACATGCTTTGCACTGCAAAATTCCTGTCTGTTTTAAACTCACTTCCTTTGGATAGCCTATGTGCCTGAATGGGCACCATAGCTGGTGGACTAGCACTGAGGCTCCAGTTGTTTTCATACTATTATTTGTTGCCAGTGTTTGTCAACATGTGATATATATGACCAGGAGTGCCATTTTCCTCAGTCTAACTTTAAATCCGGATACATGTATGAGGAAGTCAGCAGTCACAAGATTACTGTTTGCACTTGCATTGGGTGGAGTGCAGGCACTTCATGGGCCTGAATGATATTTCCTTAAACAAAGGAGTTTTATAGTCATTATTGTTCCACGTCAAATTTATGTAGGTGAGTCTTACAGAGACATTTCCACTGAGGGGGAAGTAGGTGATAAACAGGAATTCCTTCATTTTGTGTATTGAGGTTTACTTAAAATTTTTCATTGAGACCAGAAAGATTTGCAGGATGTTATGTAGCCACTAACTACAACTTCCAGAAAGTTGGGAGTCTGTGTTAAATGTAAATACATTGCAGTGATTTGCATTGTGTAGAGTTTGCGTTTTGTACGTAGGATTTAAATCCTGCATTCAGTTGGATAGTTCAAATACTGGAACCGGGAAAAGTTATTGCTTACTGAAAAATGGCTTTTCTAAGCTCAAAACCAATTTTTTAATGGCGATTACTCATGGGACCACATCTGGCTTACATATAGCTAAGGCAAAGAGTCATCTCAAGTAAGGAGCCTTTTTTAATGTAAATGTTTGTATTTTGTTGTTATTTTTGGCTGCATTTGAAACAAATGTAATTAAGCTTAAGTAAATTAACTATAAATTAAAGGTTACTTTTTTCTGGTAATTTTTGTTTAATACATGTAAAAAGTTCCTTGGTAGGTGCTAGCATGTTTGTTTTTTTTTGTTTTGTTTTTTCCCCTGTATATCCAGAAAAAAGTGTGATAAGCAAGCAAAACATTAAAAAAAAAAGTTGGGACACAGCAGTAAAACGCTGACACTAAAAAGCACCTTTTGGAATAGTTAATGGCTAATTTGGTAATTAACAAGTCAGTCACATTATTTTAAATACAAAATGTAAAGTTAATGTACATCAGACAGTGTTTAGTACCTAATATTGATTCCCTGTTGCCATTAGCTGATGCTGTGAGTGTGACATGATTTTGACATATAGATGTCTCTTTGACTTTAATCAAACATGTGAAATTTGGGACAGACTGGACAATTTATATTTCACATGTCTCTGATCATATTAAATAATTTTCAGCTGCAACCCATTTTATTCTGTTACTCTTTTTCCTTTGTGTGGTTTGTGTTTGTATTTTCCTTTGGATGAATAAAACTAACAGTATTTATGTGTGTCAGAGGGCTTGGGTCTACCTCTTTCTCTTACATGGGCTGTTTCAACTCTGTCTGCTAGTGTGTCATGTAGGGCAGGGCAATATGGTCAAAAATATTTATCGTGATATATATTTGAAAAATTGGGATAACAATATAACTGACGATATAATTGATGCAAGACAAAATACTTTACAACTCCACAACTTTATTAGTGCAAAACCCCATTAATGTATTTTCAATTAAACAAGCAGCTAACAAGCATACAGTGCGTATTACTCCGCAAGGCTCCTGACTACAGTAGCCGTAATGCTCTGATAGTCCATCAAGCCGTGCGGCTTCGTAGCTTACAAAAGTCTTACTAAAACAGTTTTTTTTGATAAATCTTTGAGCGCCGTGTACCACATAAAATTGGTTTGAGGTAAGTAAGCACAACCAGAATTCATACATAAGGCGCACCAGATTATAAGGGGCACTGTCGATTTTTCAGAAAATCAAAGGATTGAGGGAGGGAGGGGGCTTCTTTCTTGAAATCTCACCCTTGTCTCCTGGGAAACCAGTTTAGCCTTAGTTTGTGGTCAGCTATTTGCCCCTCAGTCAAATGTTCCCAGTGAGAAGCATGACTGTTCATGCACCAGAGATGATCAAATGAAACAAGACTACCATGAAACTCTATAGAGAAACTTCTCTTTATTAATCCCTGCAGAAAATATGCAGCTTAGATGTTGGGATCAGTTACTAAAAATCAAGCAGTGGAGATGGTAAAGATTTTATAGATTGTTGTAAGGTATTTCAGTAGTGAATCAAACATTTGTCCAGTGTTTAAAAGTTCCACAGTCTGCCCCCTGTACCATACCTGCCAATGTATTGTATTGTTTTGAAGCACTCAGTCAGTAAACAGCCTTTCTTTATCCTCTGTGCAAAGGATTGTCATTTACTGAGTTTTGTAACTGTGTGAGAATTTAGAATGATAAAATCTGTGGTGATTTATGGGGTTGCTTTGTTCACTTCAAATCTTTGTTTTGTATTTGCTACGCAACGCTTCAGGAACAGTGAACCGGCTGCTGACAGCAAAGCGTCAGCATTTTGGTTGTTTTTCACATCCTTGATGCCAAGATCTTGTCTTTGAATGTCTTCAAAAGTATGTAACTTAAATGCAAATTGCGATCAACATGCATATTTTATAGTTTTGAGCTTTAAAATTTGTTTTTATTCCCATTTCATTTTGGCTTTTTAAATTCACTTTTGTTTTAAATAGTTTGCAGAATTCTGTTAATTTGTGTTGTTTTGTTTACTTTAGTTTTCATTAGTTTAATTTTTTTATTTATTATAATGTCAATGGTGTTTTTTAGCT